CTCCTCCTCCTCCTCCTCCTCCTCCTCCCCCTCCTGCTCCTCCAAAGAGAACGGCCGTTGTATGTTGCTCTTGCGTCGTCGTCTCCATCTCCCCCTCGTCCAGCACTCCCCTACCCAGCCCTAAACCTCCTGAGCCCCATCGGAATCCCCTGAAACCTCCTGTTCCACCTCCGTCCCATCCACCTCGGCCTCCTACTGGAATCATTGAGACCCCCTCAAAGACCACAGACCCTCCTCTTCATTCGCCTTTTCCCCAACCCCCCGACGTCATAATAATTTCTGAACGCAGACCCCAGAGGTCTCGACCAATCCTTCCGGAGTAGCTGTTCATTCTGAGCGGTGTTCCCAACCATCCCGTGGTGTTGGGACCTCGCTTTGAAGAGGCTGCGCCCCGCGCTGTTCTTCGCTGCCCCCATCCCCCCTCCCTCATCTCACACCCGCCTCTGCCCTCCGCTCTCACCCATCATCATCATCATCATCATCATCATCATCATCATCATCATCATCATCATCATCATCATCATCATCATCATCATCATCATCATCAGCATCAGCATCAGCATCATCATCATCATCATCATCAGCAGCAGCATCATCATAATCATCATCATCATCATCATCATGACCATCATCATCATCATCATCATCACCATCATCATCATCATCATCATCATCATCATCAGCATCATCATCATCATCATCATCGTCATCAGCATCATCATCATTACAATCATCATCATCAGCATCAACATCATCAGCATCATCATCGTCATAATCCTATAAACCACAACGTCATCAGCATCAGCATCAGCGTCAACATCTTCAGCATCATCATCATCATCAGCACCATCATCATCAGCATCATCGTCATCATCATCATCATCATCATCGTCGCCATCATCACCAGCATCATCATCGGCATCAGCACCATCATCGCCATCATCGACATCATCATCATAAACATAAGCATCATCAGCAGCAGCATCATCATCAGCATCATCATCAGCAGAAACATCATCATCATCATCAGCACCATCATCATCATCATCATCATCATCATCCTCATCATCATCATCATCATCATCATCATCATCATCATCAGTACCATCCCAGTGCTGCCGCCCGCATGCGTCCGAAACACCCATGTCGACACACCCCTCACACGTTTCGCGGCCCCCATAGGGGGCTCCACTCCACCGAAGGTCGCAGTTGTACCGCCCGCATGCGTCCCCCCAACCCAGTACAGCGCTCGTGGCCACATAGGGAGCTCCACCGAAGGTCCCAGCGCTACCGCCCGCATGGGCACCCCCATTCAGTACAGCGACCGGTGGCCCCATGGGAAGCTCCACCGATGGCCCCAGTGCTACCGCCCGCATGCGTCCTTACCCAGTGCAGCGTTTCGTGGCCCACGGGGAGCTCCACCGAAAGTCTCAGCGCTACCGCCCGCATGCGTCCCCCCACTGGCCCCATGGGGAGCTCCACCGAAGGCCCCAGTGGCGGTGTTCGCATGCGTCTCCCCCACTGAATACATCGCGTCGTGGCTCCATAGGGGGGCTCCACCGAAGGCCCCAGCGCTACCGCCCGCATGCGTCCCCCCCACCCACTACAGCGTTTTCGTGGCCCCCTAGGGAGCTCCACCGAAGGTCCCAGCGCTACCGCACGCATGCGTCCTCCCCACCCAGTACAGTTCTTCGTAACCCCATAGTGAGCTCCACCGAAGGCCCCAGTGCTACCGCCCGCATGCGTCTCCCCCACGCAGTGCAGCGCTTCGTGGCCCTATAAGGAGCTCGACCGAAGATCCCAGCGCTTCCGTCCGCATGCGTCCCACCCACCCAATACAGTGCTTTGTTGCCCTATAGGGAACTCCACAGGAGGCCCCAGTGGCACCGTCCGAATGCATCCCCCCACTCAGTGCAGCGCTTCGTGGCCCCATAGGGGGCTCCACCGAAGGTCCCAGCGCTACCGCCCGCTTGCGTCCTCCCCACCCAATACAATTCTTCGTAGCCCCATAAGGAGCTCCACCGACGGCCCCAGTGATACCGCCCGCATGCGCCCCCCCGACCCAATACAGCGCTTCGTGGCCCCCTAGGGAGCTCCACCGAAGAACCCAATGGCCGTGTTCGCATGCGCCTCCCCCACCAAGTACAGCGCTTCGTGGCCCCTCTAAAGAGAACCGCAGTGGCGGTATTCGCATGCGCCCCCCCTCCCAATACAGCGCTTCGTGGCCCCATAGAGTTTTCGCATGCATCTCCCTCACCCAATACAGCGCTCGTGGCCCCATAGGGAGCTCAACCGAAGACGATATTCACGCACGCGGTGTTCACAGCTGTTTATGGTTGGGTCAATCAGCCTGGCGAAGGAGGAATGGGGCCACGGGGCCCTCGGTGGAGTTCCCTATGGAGCCACGAGAACGCTGTACTGGGTGGGGAGGACGCATGCGAACACCGCCACTGAGGTCTTTGGTGGGGCTCTTTATGGGGCCGCGAAGCGGTGTACTGGTGCGGGAGAAGCATACGAACACCGCCACTGGGGCCGTCGGTGGAGCTCCCATTGGGGCCACGAGAACGCTGCGCTGGGCACTGAGGTCTTCGGCAGAGCTCCCTATTGGGCCACGAAACATTGCACTGGGCAGGGGGGACGTGTGCGAACACCGCCATTGAGGCCTTTGGTGGAGCTCCTTTTGGGGCCACGAAACGTGAGGGGGGGGGGACACGCGTGCGAACGCCGCCTCTGGGGCCTTGAGCTCCCTATGGGGCCACGAAGCGCTGTACAGGGCGGGGGAGGCGCATGCGAACACCGCCATTGGGGTCTTCGGCGGAGTTCCCTATGCGGCCACGAAGCGATGTACTGGACGGGGGAGGCGGATGCGAACACCGCCACCAGGGCCTTCGGTGAAGCACCCTCTGGAGCCACGAAACGTTGTACTGGGCGGGTGAAACGAATGCGAATATTGCCACTGAGGCCTTCGGTGGAGCTCCTTATGGGGCCACAAAGCGCTATACTGGGTGGTGGAGACGCATGCGAACACCGCCATTGAGGCCTTTGGTGGAGCTCCCACGGGGGCCACGAAACGTGTGAGGGTTGGGGGAGACGCATGCGAACGCCGCCACTGGGTCCCTCGGTGATGCACCCTGTGGGGCCACGAAGCGCTGTACTGGGCGGTGGGGGACGCATGCGAGCACCGCCACTGGGGCCTCTGGTGGGATTCCATATGGGGCCACGAAGCGGGGAGACGCATGCGAGCACAGCCGCTGAGGTCTCTGGTGGCGTTCCCTATGGGGCCACGGAACGCTGCACTGAATCGGGGAAACGCATGTGCACTTTGCCGCTGGGGCCTTCGGTAGCTCCCTACGGGGCCACAACGCGCTGTGCGGGGTGGGGGAGACGCGTGCGAACAACGCCACTGGGACATTCGGTGGAGCTCCCTATAAGGCCACGAAGCGCTGTACTGGGCGGGTGGGGCGCATGCGAGCACCGCCGCTGAGGCCTCTGGTGGAGCTCCCTGTGGGGCCACGAAGTGTGTGAGGGGTGTGCCGAAATGGTCGACTGGTGCGGCGGGCAGAGGTAGGGATGGGAGGAGGGAGGCGAGGAGGACGAAGGAGAGGAGAGGAGAGCAGTGGAGACGCGGGCGCCGTCCCTCCAAAACGAGGACCCGGCACCACAGGATGCCCGAGCAAAACGTAGCCGCCGCGATCTTCCATGGCCCGAAGGGGCTCTGCTGGGCCCTCCGCCCCCTCTACTCCGAACGCCTCCGACCACAGACGAGCGACGACGACGGCAGGCGACGGCGACCACCGCCCCCCGCAGGCACCCGCGCGCTGGGCACGGCGACACCGCCGAGCCCCGGGCCGAGGCTCGGCGCCCTCGGGGCCGGCGCCGCGGGCGCGCAGAAAGCGCCGCCGAGGCCGCAGGCCGTGCTCGGGGCCGGCGCCGGGGGCACGGCGAGGCCGCCGCCGCAGCCGCAGGGCGTGCACGGGGCCGGCGCCGCGGGCAGGGCGCCGGCGAGGCCGCCGAGCCGGCGGCCGCCGCTGGTGGGCGCGCTCGGGGCCGGCAGCCCGGGCGCGAGAGGCGCGCGGGGGGCGGCGGGGCCGCCGAGCCAGAGGCCGGGCGTGCCGGCGAGCGCGGCGGGGGTCGGCGGGGCGCAGGGGGCGGACCACCTTAAGGCGGCGAAGGCCGAAGGAACCCTCCGCCTCCGAGGGGGGCGAGAACCATACCCCCCCCAAAAGCGGGCATGAGTTGGGCCACGTCTGGCCTCTGGGGGGCCGCTTGCGGGCCCCCGGAACCTTCAGAAACAACTATGGGGGGAAGAACTGCACCCGCTGCCCACCGATTCGGGAGAATCGATGGTTGGAGGGGTGCAGGGTTCGGTTGTCGCCACCTACACCTGGCAAGGACATTCGGACTAGGACTCGGAACGATTGCGAAGCGATACTCAAATGCTACAATGCCACCCCTGACCCCCATGAGCCTCGCGGCCGCAAAGTGGAGAAACGCCCAGACAGGGTGGTGGAAGCCGAGAAGCCCGCAGAACGCGAGGTTGCCCCAGGCGAGTCCCTCCATCGTGAAGCCGCGCGGGCAGAGGAAGGAGAGGACGAGCAGGATGCCACGATGCGATGGGCTCGGGAGGCGTTCCACGCGTTCCAGGAAGTATCCCGCGACCCTCGCTCCTGGAGCCCGTGCGGAAGAAACCCTGGGTATCCTGAGAGTCTTGGAACGTATTATAGTGACTTCTTGCTCCTCCAAGAGGAGGGGGAAGACCACGAAACAGGAGGGGTGCATACGCGGGGGGGGAAACGGA